CATTTCCATCTAATCTCAATCTCACTTAATCCGAATCCCACTCAATCCCGATCCCACTCAATCCCAATCCCACCCAATTCCACCCAATCCCACTCAATCCCAATTTCACTCAATCCCAATTTCACCCAATCCCACTTAATCCCAATCGAAGTGACGGCCAACCTTTTAAGGATCTGCGTACACCCTTGAAGATTATTCGAAAGATACCGCAGAGCCACCACGGCGAAACCTTTTATTAACTCCGTCTCCGAATGGACATATGGGCATATGTGCTCTACCGCTGCTACTGCAATTAACGATTCTGGGACTCCTGGTTGTTGTTGTGGTTAAGATGATGATGACGACGATGATGATGACAATGATGATGACGACGACGACGATGATGATCGTTGTTGTGATGACGTACGTGATGGTGATGCTGTCCTCCGCGGATTTTAAAAATTATGAGCAAATCGCAAATATCCCATTTTTAAACATTCAGAAATTTCATTTTCAACGAACGAAATAAATAAATAAATTACACAATAATAAGAATAAATAATAATATAATAATAATATAATAATAATTATTATTATATTAAATATAATTTAAACGAACTCCACCGGAATCATAACGAGAGAGGCAAGCGATGCAATTGAGTATCGTCGCCGTGTTGACATCTCGTTCTTTTCGCAACTGGAAGCGTCTGTTGACAGTATCGATGTCTGGATTTGCGTTCGTTGTTGCTGCTGTCGTTTTTGTTGTTGTTGTTGATGTTGTTGTTGTTGTTTTTGAGGATGACGTCATTACATTTTCCCGTACAGTGTTTGTTGATGAGTTGTGTTGTTGTTGTGGGTGTTGTTGTGGGTATGTTTGTTGGTGTATTAGGTGCGTTTGTTGTTGCTGTTGTTGTTGTTGCTGTTGTTGTATGAATTCTTTTGAGATTTTTTCAAAAACGTCCGTAAAGTTCTTTAATCCAATGGCTGAAATGTCTGCCGGCGATCCCTCCCATAGCATCCCGGATAAGATTACCATCTGTGTGAGATGACGAAGACGACGACGGCGATGATGTTGACAATGTTGTTTTCATTGTTGTTGTTTTTGTTGTTGTTCTTGATGATGATGAGGATGTTGTTGTTATTTTTACTGTTGTTGTTGTTTTTACTGTTGTTGTTTTCATTGTTATTGTTGTTGTCGATGATGATGGTAGTGATGATGATGATGATGGTAGTGATGATGACGATGCTGCTTATGAGGTATTGAAAAATTTAAGGCAGATCTTCACTTCTGGCAATTAGATACAACATTGCGAATGAATAAAATTATTTCAACCATAAAAACAATAATAAAAATAATAATAATAGTAATAATAATAAAAATAATTAATAAATTAAAGACATAATATTATGACCATAATTACGTCAGATAGTTCGTGAATAATTTATGAGAGCAGATGAAGATGGGTCAATACTGATTGGCACGTATACGCACGCACATAAATGCACACACGCACACACACATACATTCACACACGCACACAAACATTTGCACACACATACACATACATATATTCACACACGCACACACAAATATCCAAACAAAAAGTTGGAACTTATCCAGGCTTCATAAGACTTTCATAAAATATGAATGTGAGTGTGATGTCTTATGGTAATGAAGATGAATATGTTGATGACGATCGATCGATTGACTGATTGATTGATTGATTGATTGATTGATTGATTGATTGATTGATTGATCGATTGATTGATCGATTGATTGATCGATTGATTGATCGATTGATTGATCGATTGATTGATCGATTGACTGATCGATTGACTGATCGATTGACTGATCGATTGACTGATCGATCGATTGATTGATTGATTGATTGATTGATTGATTGATTGATTGATTGATTGATTGATTGATTGATTGATTGATTGATCGATCGATCGATTGATCGATCGATCGATCGATTGATTGATTGATTGATTGATTGATTGATTGATTGATTTATTGATTGACCTGATAAGAAGCTTGAGCCTTTACGACGTCATCCTTATCATTTAAAAGTTTATCAAAAGTTGACAACTTCAATGCTCTTATCGGCTTACCTGAATTCAAATTTACCCTATCTATTTCCTCTTCTTCCTTCTCGTCGCCATCATCATCTTTGTCATCATTATCAGCATCGTCATTAATATTATTATTATCATAATTATTATTATCATTATTATTATTATTATTCCTGTTATAATTGTTATTGTCATCGCTTTTATTACACCTATAATTCCTATGGGGTCTCGCCATCCAGGTCTTCAAGTAAGACGACCATTTTTTGCTTCCGTAGCACAAATTAACGAAAAATTGTGAAGCTTTTAGTTTATTTTTCACTTTCGTGACGTCATCTCCATTATTGTCATCATCGTTTTTGTCGTCGTAATCATCGGCACGGCCATCTTTGTCGACGTCATCATCTTTTCCAGTATCTTTTGTTAGTATCCGAGTTATAAAGATTAGTAATCCGTCCAGTTTTTTTGGCTTTATCAAGTTGATTCCGTTCTTCTTACCTAGAGGAATAAAATCAAAAAATTTTTAAATAATGTGGAAATTTTTTGACATCAAACACAATTAAAACCTGTAATCAAATAACTGAACGTCAGAGCGGCTTGCAACCTGAGACAAAACTTTCGGCCAGACCTGTCCAGGACAATACTGACCAAATGTTCGAGTACCGAAGTGTCCAAGGCCAACTTCTGCAGACGAGCGTCGACCACATGAGCCACTAAGACGACCAGGCGATCCACTGTTTCCATTGAAGTGAGAAGTAGCGATGCATCGCATGCCTGGTCCGCTATATGCTCTATCAGAACTTTAATTGAGATTTATTTATTACTAATTTATGAAAAAATAAAACTTAATTATAAAAAAGTATCGATAAAAACTAATTTAGAAATAACTATTTCAAAGTTAATTTATGATTCAAAGCATACCTGCTAGAACTTTCGCCTTGTCGTCAGTAGTAAGAACCGGACAGCAAGGCAGGCTGGCCAGGCACCGAACTCCTTCTGCGGCTATCCTGTGCCTGACCATCGACTGCGAATAAAAATACTCAACAAACTCGCCACCGCCGACCATCTCGGCCACACGTCTTGAAACTTCAACGGCGCTGTCGGCCACAGTCCACAAGACGACACTGAATTTGTCTTTCAAAGTTGGGCCACAGAGAGCGGTGGAGTTCTTGAAAAGATCTGATGTGAGATTCATCTGGAAGTAGAGTTGTTGTGTGGTGTGGTTGCCGGTGAGCAGGGATTGTAGGGTGTCAATGCAGTGCTCTTGCAGATCGGTGTTTGTTGACTGTCGTATGGAAGTATTTACTTCATATTCTACTTGAAATTGTCATTGGAGTAACAACTTCGTAATCAAATAATTAAAATATCTATAATGTTGTTGAGAAGGAGTCAAAAATATCATTAACCCTGATTAGTTTAGTCAGTTTGGTGAGAAGTTCACCACCAATAGCAAATCCCAGCTGGTTCCTCATGTGGTTGGCTGTCAACTTAACGATCGATTCACACGCACAGCAGGTCATCTCATTGTTATCTTCGTTGTCGTCCTTGATAAGTTGAATTAGGGTGGTGTAGCTGTTGGAGGTTTCGGCGAAATGTTCCAGAAGTTGTAGCTTCTGATCGCTTGCCGTACCAACGCATGCAACTACATTCTTCAACGTTGTGTTTAATACGTCTTTAGGGTAGTTTCTAATCTGACGATGACAATTTTTGCATGTGCGTGTGGTGATTTCGAATTGCACGCAAGCTCTTAATGTACGCTACATATAAATAGAGTATGATCATAAAGTAATTATACTCACGCACAACTCTTGGATACATTTCACGAGTGAATTGATTAATTGGTGTTTGACCGATTCTTCGGTAAAGTTTTTCTCCCCGACCAGGCACATCACTACCTCACACGACACACCAATCAGTTCGACGTCTTTTTTCAGACTGGTCATGTGATCATCTTCCTTCTTTGCCGATGTGTTTCTCCATTTTAAAAATTCAATTTTTTCTAAATTTGCTTCCTCAGCTTTTATTTTTTCGATGACTTCTGCCAAACTGGGAAGATTTTGAGAGTTTGAAAGAATTTTGACGATCACAGGCATGATGCCGCAGTTGATGGATTGTTCTTTTGCTGGTCTGTTGGTCAGAAGAAGGGTGTAGAGAGTTTTGAAGAGCCAATAGGAATGAGTCTTCGAGATCGCTGGTTCAGTTTTCTTCATTGTCGTTAAAATGGATTTTATGATTTTTTTGTCGATAGCTTTGAGGCGAAGCAACGTCTGTTCGTTCTGTACGACCTGAGATTAGTTTTTCAAAACGAGAAAAACCAAATATTATATTTTTGTAGTTTTCAAATAATAAATATGAACAAACTAACATTCTGCGAGTCATTTGCGTCGTTTTCCACCTCAGACTGTTCGACACTTTCAGGAATATTCTCTAAAACTTTGTCATCCTTCTCTTCCCCATAATTCAGCATGTCCCTTAACCAGTTAACTGCTACAGTTAATTCGTTCTCAAAATCAGATCTCAATCGCTTCTCGAGCATAATCCATATTGCTAGTTTATCAAAGTCTTGCACTGATAAATAAACTAAAATATTAATTTTGCCCAGATCAAGCGCCATTTCGATAACGTTTTGACCTTTGACATCAACGGCCTCTAACGATGCTCCCAAACTTATGAGGGATTTGAATGTGTTGAGTTTGTTGTGTATCAGAGAGAGGTGGAGTAACGTGTGATCATTCCCGTCCGTTGTTCGTAGTTCCAACAGTTGGGGGTTGGATTTAACTGCTTTTTCTAGAAAATCAGTTACATTTTCATGAAATTTTGATTAATTAAACACTATTTTGCAAAAATGTATCCGTTATAAAGTCAACTCTGTTAAAATTACTGACCAATGAGCGCAATCTTGCCCTGCATTGCACATATATGGATTGGCGCCAATTTTTGTCCTGCGGGGAACTGGCCCATTTCCGTAGCGGTCAGGGATTCATACGGATCGACTATTGTTTGACTGGACTTGCGAGATTTTCTATAGATATTTTTGTACAATATTCGCATTAACGTTCAAATAAATGAGTTAGGTTATTGAATAAATGAATGAACGAAATAATGGACGAATAAATGAACGAATATAAAATGGATATATTAAATTAGCACTTTAGAATTATTCAAGATTGAAATGTTTCGTAATTTCAACGCATTCAATTTGTACAAGGAAACAAATTCTTCTACCTTGATAACCTTCCAGTATAACGTTTCAACTTAAACACATCCATATTCACATAAATTAAACTTTCAATTCGCAAAAGATGCCGAAAAAGTGTTTAAAAACCATATTAATAACATTTGAAACGTATTTTTATAGTTAAATTACGTCTCTACTTGATAATATAATTCGAATTAGTCATTTGAACGATATCTTAAACTTTATAGGAAAAGACATTATTCAAATTACTTTGTTACATTTTTATTTAATATGTATCAAGAGATATCTTATCTACAGTTAGATACGATGATTCTGAACGTCCGTGCCAACAATAACCTTTCCATTCATCATTATAACGTATGCAAACGCGTTGAAACACGATATATGTATGAACCGCACCATACAGCACGCACACACGCTACGCAACCAGTACACACAGATAAGATACCAATGCAAGCAAATTCCATATTCGTATATGAGGTATTTGCCTATTATTACGATGCAAAAATGAGAATCACAGAAACTTTCAACGTTCCATAAGAAACTATCCTCTGAGCACACACCAACCCAGCCAGCGATTTATATCGACAACTGTAGTAATTTCTGCAACTGATCTCAAACTCAATTTGAAAATAAGAAAATATTGTAAATTGGAGATATAGAAAAAAACCATTTTTAAATTTTTATTCAACACACATAGACGCATCAATTCAATACAAAATTTGAAAGAATGAGTATGTTGTGTTAAAATGTAATTCAGTTCTTCGAATGAAACGATTTAATGAAGGCATGCATCTATTTAGCATGGGCCTTCCTCATCTTCTGAATGACAGTCGACATCTCCTCCCTCTTTCGCTTGCCTCTCAAATGGGTGCCCAACTGAAATTAGTAATTTTTGCTAATTTTTAATAATATTTCACAAATTAAATATCTAATTTTAAAATATATTAAATCACATGTAATCAAAATCTAGTTGAAAGTATTATACTGTAGGATTCAAATTTTTATCATTAATTCAGCTGTAATAAAATTTAAAAATTTTAAATTAATACAGTTTGAGTTTATTAATCAGCCTAAGTCTAATATTCTAATGCTAATCGTAATAACTATGTAGCTAACAATTTTAAAATCTACTGATCAATTTCGCTACACAGTTCAACACCAATTAGATCAGGATAAAATATTAAACAAAAAACACTAATAGTTTAAAACTTTAAATTTTTTTTAATCAAATACCAATTACTTAATTTAAAAACCCACCCTTCTTTTGCAGAATTTGAGTGCCCTTTTGTCCTTTCCAACCTTTAACAACTCCATTGAACGTTTCTCGTATGGTGCAAATCCACAGACATCTCTAACGAGATCACGGACAAATTTGGCATGCTTCGTTTGGGTCTGTCCGCCATGAAAATAAATTTTTTCATGAATCATTAAAATATATTACTAAATCAAAACCAAAAATAAATTTATTAATTAATTTAAAAAAGAAATAAATATACAAACCCCCTTTCTTGTAGAAGGGCGCTTTCTTTTTGCTAATTTACTGACTTTATGGCCTTTCTTCAGGCCGACCGCCATATCGTGAATGATGGCCATTTTTCTGCGGAAAAAAAGTTGAAAAAAGATGAAAGATGAAAATTTATAAAATAAGCTTAAAATTTAGCTCAAATTAACGTTGAATTGAAACGATTAAAAAAGATTTAATCGCAACAAAAACCAGGATCCGAAACTTACCCAAATGTTTACAAAAAAGACCGGAAATGTGAAGAGCATAGACTTATTAAATTTGTTTCAATTAAAACTAAAGTTCGCATTTGTACTTTTATATTATCGCTTCTGTAACCAAGTAGTAAAATAAAGCACCGTACAAATTTATCGATTTGTCTTAGTTTAAAACACAAAAAATAATTTGTTTAATATATTTATGGCTGAAAGAACGAATTAGTTTCAAAATTTCACATAAATTATATTTTTAATATGAATTTCCCAACCGACGTCATGCTGACGGTTCCTGACTTTTCGGAATGTGTAATCAAAGTGGAGTGTTCCACGGCAGCATTAAATGAAGATATCATAGAAAAGGTTGGCTACAAAATGAACGAAGACATTAATATCGTAGTGGGCCTGGCAGCCACCGAATTGTCCCAACTCATTGACAGAACATTGTTTTCAATGGCCAGAGGGGACCAATTTGAATTAAACGTCAAGACATTCCAGTTAGGCATCGACACCCTGGTGATTAAATTAAACGATTTCAATCCCGCCACACCTATTCACCAGCTACAGGTTGTTGATAGTTTAAACCGTTCACAAGCCTTGAGAGAAAATGGGAAAAAAGCTTTTAGTATGAAGGATATCAAAGCAGCATTTCATCTGTTCAGCAGAGCATTGAAGTACCTGCTGTGCCTATCCAACCAAATGGATCACTCACCATACAACTTTTCGTCTGTAATAACCTCTGACGATATATCAAGAATGGATAATTTAAGATGTATCTGCCATTTAAACTTGGCAGCTTGTCAGTTGCTTGGTACTAATCTACTAGGTGCATTGAGGAATTGCGAAGAGTCCATCAAAATTAAACCAGAATGTGTAAAAGGTTATTACAGGTCGGGTCAGGTTAGGCTGATGTTGAATGAATATCAACTAGCCATTAATGATTTCCAAAAAGTGCTGGAAATGGAGCCGGGCAACAGACAAGCAAAAAAATTATTAGCAGAAGCAAAATTACATCTACATGAAGATGATAAGCAATTAGGTGATAAGCTGAAGGGGATGTTCAATTAATCTCACTCACTGTTCATTCGTTGTTATTCTACTCAATTTTGTTATTTTGTAACATTTTTTTGTTTTGTTTGTTGCTAAAAACTGAATCACCATGTGAAATTATCAAATGCATATATCGTTTTTCGGTACTTATGAATTAATAAACATTGTGTAAGCAAAATGTCTTGTCTCTTATTTCATTTAAGTAAATATGTTTCAAATAATTTGATAATGGTAAACAAAAAGAAATTGAATTAACTATCAACAAATTAAATCTCTAGAACATAATTGTTACAAAGAATGCACATATCTGAAGAAAAAATTGGTTACTCATTAAATTATCTAATTTTTAATAATTTCAACTATTTTAGAATCCTAAGTAACTGAAACGTAAAAATTAAACAAAAAAATTAAAATATTGAAAAGAAAGTCTTCAAGAGGCACGTCTGGAATGAAATTACAAAAAATATTTTCACCTTTATACTAAAATGAAATCAGTGCAACGTGGTATAAAATAAATTCTAATATGACAGGCCAAACACTACGTAGAAAAACAAGGATACAATCGTGTACAATTAGTAAGATTTCTGCAAATTGTTAATCCTCAAGTCATTCTTAGCTGCATGTAAGAACATAAAATAAACTGATTTGATAATGTGTTTTCTGTCTGTTGACGTACAAGCAGATAACACTGATGTGACACAACACACAGTAGCAACGCACTGGAAGCTAATAAAATGAAAAAGAGAGAAGAGGAATAGAGAGAGAGAGAGAGAGAGAGAGAGAGAGAGAGAGAGGAAGAAAGAGACAGAGAGAGACATTAAGTCACAATGCTAAACAGATAGAATGGATAGTCAGGTAAATAAAAGTATGCAGATATAGA